CAAGGGCCCATGACTTGCATCTGCCATCTTCATCTCTTTATTTTCCTCTGCATCTCCTCTGTCTGTGTCTTTGAGAAGGTCAGCCACTCAGTCTGAAGGCTGGACTGAGTAAGAATCTTAAGTGCATTCAGGGATGAGCCCTATCCTGGCATTATTTAAAACGCTTGCTTAGGGAAGTAGCAGCATTCCTGCTTATATTATTGTTGTAAGCTAGTGCTTGTCCACAAAAGCACCAAAGAACTTGAGAAAAGGAAGTAAAAAACTTGATGCCACTTGCAAAGTTCGGCCCTGTACCCCTTACCTTACCAAGGATGAAATACAAAACATCATTTTGGACCAAATAGGAAAATCAAGTAAAGATAACCCAAAAGAATGTAAGTCAGCAAATGGACACGAAGCTCAGTGTTATGCTCAGAGTTTTAGGAAAACAAATGTTGTCAACAGTATGCAAAAGCAGACTGATCCAGTATCATATACATGGGAAACCACAGAGGACTGATAAGGTTGTGTCAGAAGTGATAGGGCTCACCCCATCTCTGAAAGAGCAGACATAGCCTGTGACTGCCCTAGTCCAAACCTGAACTCTAGGCATGGGCTGAATCTGCACCATGCCACAGTTTCCATGAAAAAGTTCTCAGGGAAGAATTCTTGTGATTGACTGTTCTTCACTCCTGCAGTGCTTTTGCAATCCCATTCCCACTGCAGCTCCCAAATTTCTCACTCTACTGACGCTAAAAGGCTAATTGTTGGCTGAGCTTTGGACAATGAGCATTCATGGATAACCCTATCTGTTCTTATATGGGAAATGCCAGAAAGAACAGAACAAAATACCCTGCCAGCCTTGCAGAGTGAGCTTGTGGTCAGTTTTCTCCTGTCTGAATATTTTCCTTCCCAGTTGTCAAAACATTTTGAGTAAACACTACAACACACACGGAAAAAGTGTGTTGTGCAAGAGTAACGTGCTTTGCTGTAGGAGAGTCAGAAAGTTATCATCTTGGTTCAGGGACACACAAAGCTTCTTGGGACTCGTGACACCAGGTTGGGGAGCAGAGTCACATGAAGTCGAAGGGGGTAGGAGTGGGGTGAGCAGGAGTAAACTCCTGAAGAATTAAAGACTTGAGAAGAGTAGCAACTAATTTCGTATTCACAAGGAGAGGGAGAAGGAGTTGTGAGACTGATATCATAAACCTTGCAATTCATTATATTCTCCAAAGATGAAAAATTGAGATTCAATAGTTATTTAAGTATTTATACTAATTTGAAATAGCTTCATAAAGAGAAATGCTCTCAATCAACATTACTCAATAAGCTTGTGGTCTCTTAGTATCATCATCATCATCATCATCATGGCTAGGCTTCACGAACAAAGATTTGGGAAAGGCTCTATCCACATTTGTTACAAGGCCTCTTAGTATACAGGCATGTGAATCACCTGAGTTCCAGATTTTATTCCAAGTTAAACAGAATAGAGACTTGGAAATAGGTCTTTCATCTGCTCAATGACAACAAAGAAAGGAACAAACTCACTTATGTTTGTTAACACTTAGATTTAAGATCTTCATATACTTCATTTCTTCATAGATATATACTGTCTTGAGAAAGCTGGAGATAGGGGAAAAAATAACTCTGTAAATCAGAACAGCTTAAACTTTCTGAGTGTGTGCTGGGAGGGGGTGAAAGATAGTAATATTTGTTTTAGGAGTGGTTTGATAGTTTTTGAATTAAACTTCTTTCTACAATAATAAAAGTTGCCAAGAAGTACAGGAAGTTCTACTGTGTTTACTAATCCATCATGCGTAAATGGGAAAGGAAAAGCTGCACAACATTAACATAATAGAAATCTCCAAGAAAACAAAATGCTAAACCAGCTATTAAGGTTTAAATTTAACTTAGGGAATGGTTGCTGTGAGCACATCACTATGTACAGGTTTTGTATGCATCACATTTTCAGTTCTTGATGGACCCACAGTGGCAGATCTCATTTGCTTTAACTGATAAACTCTTTCTAATATTAGCAGAAGGTTTATTGTGGAAAAATAAATGAGGGATTTACCCTCATATTTCATTCCTTCATCCAAACTACACAATGCTATGATATGCCTCAAAACAACCCTAGAACAGTGTTCAAGAGATTTGGTATTTTCTATTATTTATTTGCTTATACCTTTCTCTTTTTAATTTATTGACGCTTTGATGCAGCCTTTCTCTGCAAAAAGAATGCTCTCACTCAATGTATCACCAACAGCAATGTTTTGATGGGATACTTTCTGAAGTCCAGGATCTGTGAAAGGTTTCCATACAAGAGTTACACAGCTCCAAAGAACAGCTAAGTGAGCTAACACATGCAACAAAACTACAACTAAATCTTTAAGGCAAGAGCATCCACCTAGCCCTTGTGCTCACCACTGACTGGAAGTGTTCATGTAGCCTCATAACAGATCACCTGAGAAATTTTAACAGGAAAAAGATTTCTGAGAGACTGAACCCACTCACATTTGTAAAAATACTCTTAGTAAAATTACTGCTTACTTATTATAATAATACAGGGTATTTATAAATATTACAATAGGAAGTTTAGATGATCAGAGCTATATGGCAGCACATTTCTGATTAAATGTGTGTTTTCTCTTCTCCGTAATTCTGAGATGGAAGAGAAAATATTTCTTCAAGGAAAGTGGTTAATTTAAAAAGTTATTTCTTGCTGAATATTTTTAGCATATGTTGCCCTTGAGACAGTTATGAAATGCTAAAATATAGATAGGCTTTACGTCAGTTTTGAGCTCTGAAAACTAGGATTGTTTTAAAGGACTAATTCCCAGGAGACTCTTTTCCATCTCTGCTTCTGCTATAATTCTGCATTTCATTTTAGAACTATAATGCTCTAATTTATAGTCTCTATAGTGGTCTATTACACCTAAAGATTTTCTTTTTTTCACAGTGGAGTTATGCCTCCCACCCTCTAATGCTTGTGCTAAGATCATGGGGTAAAGGAGCCCCAGCAAGGTGGAGGGGTGCTTCAGAAAATCCAGGGTATCTTGCTTGTCTCTAGAAGAACTCTCAGATGTCCTATATCATATACCAACCCCATGCAGGTATCCCAGACAGCCTACACTTTCCAAAATACCCACATCCAAGTGCCTAAATTGCCTTCCAAATACGTGGCTGTTGCTCTCCCTAAAAATCACCAATTTTTTTAATTGTCTCTATGCACACTGAATACAACTCCTCAGGTCTTCTGTGAAAAGAAAAGCAAAACTCCCTATTACTATGCCAGACCGATTTTTCAACAAATGTAGATTTCTATTTTAATTTCCTGTGCATTCCTCCTGCTTCACTGCCTGAATGTCTCTGCTTAAGTATTCCAGTCCCTTTTCTCTCTCTGGTATTTTCTTTCTTTTCTAACCACCTAACTGAAGCAACATAAAGACTAGAAAGGTAAACAGAACAGTCAGTACATGCTGAAAGTTGGCTCCAACAGCCCAGTGTGGCACATGGTAGTCCTGATGCAGAAGACTAACTCAGCATTTAACAGTCTCTAGTATTCTCCTCTCAACTTCTTGCTGCTCAGGTTCTGCTTTCCTGGCACCCAGGCTGCTTTCTGTCATCCTCTGAAAACACCTGTTAACATAAAAAACCTTCTCTCTGGTTTCTTATGTGACTTAGACAAGCCAGTTTTGTGTCTCAAAATTAAAAATAATTAAAAAAAATAACTTTAGTGAAGGTCAGTTCCCACAGTGCTCTCTACAAAACCTTCACAGCTTCATAAGGAGCCTCATTGAACAAGGGCACCTCAGTAAGATGGGAAAATCCAACAAGCTAGAGCACTTGCTGCTGAAATACAGCTTTTAGAAACTAGTGACCTGGTCTAGTGCAAGGTTCCCTGTCCGTGTCAGGGGGGTTAGAACTAGATGATCTTTAAGGTCTCATCCAAACCAAGCTATTCTGTGATTCTGTGATTTTAATTTGATGGCCCTAATCTACCTGGAATTTTCATTTATTAGCACAAGAAGCACAAATCAAGGAATTTAGGATAATGCAGGCTGGAAGGGACCTTGGAAGGTCCGTAGTACAACCTCTTGCTCAAAGCTGGGTCAGCTACAAAATTATGCTACAGCTACAGATTATGCTACTCTGGGCTTTATCCAGCTGGGTATTTAAAACTTCTGAGAATGACAAGGCTGAAATTTAATGATTTAATAGCTGGAGAAAAGTGAAAATCCTGTGTTTTGGTCCTGAAACAGCCTCTAATGTTAAATTTATTATTTCCCGGTTCAGATTAAATACAATTATTGTACTAAAACTGCTCTATCAGAACAACAGCAACATCCAGCTTTGGTGAGATTTGGACCATTTTGGAGGACATTTTCAGTAGAAAAGTTTGTAAAATATTGATGGTGTCAAGTCACAGGTCAAACACAGACTGTGATTCAAATATCACCACCAAATCTGAACTAAATCAAAACCCTGTTCATAATGAGTCCAGTCTTTTTCTGTATATAAATGTCCTGTATATATTCAGCACTTCTCTCTGAACCAGTTCATATTTTCCTCCTTCTTCCAGCTCTCACCTTCTCCAGCCATTCTGTTCTTCTCCATCTCAGTTAAAACTATTTTACACAGAGATAATACCTTTTGTCAGAATCATCCCAGTTATTGGATAAGATGCATAAAAAGCATTGAAAAATAACTTATCAGGTTGTTTAAGGCTAAAAAGTATGGAATTTTTTTAGGAAATTATAACTCTGGAGAGTCTAAACTAAGAGCATTCAAAATTTCCACTCAGGAAAAAAAAATGTTATGCAAAGTACTTCATTGCACTTGATTGGCCCTGTGCTCTCTCCATACCTTTCTTTAGTTGATTACAGCCCATATTGGGATTGAATGGCTTCATCTCCCACCCAGGGAGAAAAATTAGTAGCCTCTGCTCACCTTAGTCCCATTTTTATTGAAATAACTGTTTTAACAGAACAACTTTCTTTTTTCCTTTTTTCCTAACACAGTTGATGTAGACGCCCTTAACAACAACTGCAGAGTGAGAGCTTCTTTCCATTGTGTGCTTCAAGTTTACACACTGAAGAGTATTTAAAAATCACACTTTTGGGAGGTAACTCCTCTATATATTTTCTTTATTGCCTTAATTTTCTGACAAATTATGGGGTTGTTTTGTGTTTAAAATAACTTTTTATTTTGTAAGGTTATTTCTGCCCCAGTCAAGTTCCTGAATCTGGTTCAACATGAAGCCTCACGAACCGTGAGGGCAGCTGTAAGGTAAAAGGGACAGTGAAGGGTGAATGAAGAGCAGGAAACATTTAAGTTAACATTGCCGCAACAGTGTCCGCTGATCTAAACCTCAAATGTGCTAAACCCCATTAGAGATTCATTATACAAAAATCGGAAATTAAAAATTAAAGTCATGGGGTTAGTAAAAGCAGAACATTTTAGGAATGTTTCTGACACTTCCTTTATCTCTCAAAAATAATTAATGCCTCCACAATAAAACAGAATTAAAAGGACATTCTGAGAACGTTTCGGAACACATTTCAGAGATGCTACAAGAGTGATATAATGTTACCTTTCCCCATTCAGCCAGGCAAAGATACAAATCAAACCCATTTTATCACCACAGAGAGGTGTACAAGCAGTCTCATTGAGCTCAGATTAGATGGAAACGAGGGTCTCAGTGAACTGGGGATAGATGACAAAGGTGATTTTTTTCAAGAGTAAAGGTTGCGAGAAGAGGAGGTTAAAATAGAATCTTTGAAAATAATCCTTATGGAGAAGGTAAAGAATTTATAAAAAGAATGTCTTGTCTATATTTTTGTTCAAACTTAGCTCTAAGCCCATCACAGAAGCTGACTTCAATCTTCCACACACCTTTGGGTTCCTGCTGAGCAATGCCTTTGCTCATGCTATCCCATCACATGTGCTTCAGGCCTGCTAGACCTGTAGGTGTGGAGCTGAAGGAGAAATTATGCATTGAGATTCTTTTGGTACAATCTCTTACTAAATAAAACAACTTACTGAGTCTATTAGGCTTACACTCCCAGCTCCTGAGAGTAGCAGCAGTACTCTCAGCAGGACACGGGCTTCCTTGCACACACCACACTGCTGAGGACTGCCCTTACCTACAGCAGCTTTCAAACTCCTGATATTTCCCATTTCAGTCACAGCAGATCTGTCAGGCAGACACCTTTTTTCTTCTTATGGCTCTGACAGTTCCTCTGTTAAATTTGGGGCTTTTACACTAGCATAAAGAAGCAAGGCTGCCAGGCTAATAGGCATCCCCACCAAACACCTGGCTGTCCAAGCTGGGCTCAGAGATGTTCAGGAGGACAAATCCACACAAAAAAATGCATAGTATCAAAGCAGGCTTGGCTCTGCACAGAAACACAAAGTTAGAGGAGAGGCTGTGGCAGCCCTTGGGTGTTTTGCTGTTTCTTTCTGTAGCTGAGCTGTTTTCTAAAAAAGCACCATGTCACAAGTCAGCCAATACCCCTCTCAGTTTGCAGCCATTCACTCAAAGCCATGTTTGTCCTCCCAGCTTTTCCACTCCTCTGTGCCACTGACACCCAGCTGTATATAGAGCTGCATGTACGTATGGCAAGCCATCTGTATGCATCTGAAAACACTTTTGGTCACTGACAGCACTTAAAAGAAACCAGGTAATTGTAAAATTCTGCTAAGGATGCTACAGACTGGGTGTCATACTTATCCTTCATAAGGCCTTGATAAGAAATCCCTGAGATGAATGGAAAACAGCTGCTCTCTAGGCAACATTCATCATGAATGATTGTCCATCACAGAAATCTGGATGGCCCAGTCTTTCCTTTTTCCTTGCAAATTGGACTATGCAGGATAACACCAGGACTGGGTATCCATGCTTTTTAATATTCCCTCTTTTGTTCCAGCAAACCACATTATAGCAGTTAACATCATAATAGCATTTATCTGGTTTAGGCCCCACCTTTTGTCCCTGAGGACTAAATTGGCAAGGTTAATATTATGACAATCTCAGAATACATGAATTAGAAATTTCACACCTTGTTTCTGCAAGATGTAATCAGCAAAGTCACAACAGCTTTAAAATATGCTTTACAAAGTCCCTTCCTTACTCCCACAGCATAGATTATTGCAGGTAACATTGCAATAACCTGGACACTTATTACACATTTCAGAACTTGTCCTTGCATAACACATGACTGAGAACATCATAAGACTTTAAGTTATTCACTATATCTTAGCTTACAGTAAATGTTTAGCACAGTACAAGGAAAGATTAACACCAGTGGTGGTACTAATAGAATCATGAATTCAGTAGCTGTAGGGCTTCATCCTGATGCAAAACAGATTGTGAAAAACATTCACCTGAAGCATCATGCCCTATCTGGGGAATAAAGCTGTCCTGGAGCTTGCTCCCATCCAGTAGCAGCATTAACTGAGCTCTGAGCCTTTTTACCCTGTCATTCCATTCCTTAGCTCACAGTTCTTGATCCTTCAAGGGCTTTTTGTTCCCTTTCATCATATTCCCCTTCTTTTCTTTCACAGGCCCCAGCACATATGCCTGTAGCATGGATACTTTTGCTACACACATGACATTCTAAGATTAATCACTCTCCTGGACTCCTTGGCTTGATGATAAACTCATGCCTGTCTCCTGGCATGCTCCCTTCAGTGCAGCATGTACAGGTCAGTTCTTGAACAGCAGGACATCCCACAGGGTTACCAGGCAATACCAAGGTGCACTAATGACTCTGCCCAGCCCTCAGAGCTTTCAGGTTATGTCACTGGTGACCACCATCTTTTTGGAGTCCTACTTCACTTGCCTGTAATGACAATCCAACAGTCCAACAACTACAGTTATTAGCCCTTTTTTTCCCAGTCCCTCTGCAAGGGTTCCTAATTTGTAGCATTGTCAGGATCTGTCCATCACTCACTCAAAGTATCCCTGCATGAGTCGACCCCAAAGCCTTCCTCCCTTGGCAAGGGTAGTGTCTACAAGAGGCACAGGGCTCACTGCCTCCCACACAGCCCACCCTGCACCCCTCCTTTGTTGAAACATTGCCTTTTGTACCCAATGCTATTAGCAAAAATATTCTAGAACAACATGAGATAATAGCTGACAGTGGGGTTAGTGACTGCCAAGGAGGAGGTAACTCACAGTAGGAGCTGCACGCCATCAGGGTCAAATTCAGCCCCCAAAGGGATCCCTCAGAATCAGTAATGAGAGATTACTTCAGCTGAGCAGTGTTTCAGTCAAAACTGTCAGACAAAATCTTACTAAGAGTCTCTGCTGGGATATTAGGCCTACCTTGCATTGCACAGGAAGTATTTGTGGAGAACATGTGAGAGGATCAGATTTATTTTCACCAACCTATGATAAGAAGATGGCAAATCACTTCCTTTTCTTAGTTGTGGCTTTGTCAATCATAATTTATTCAGTAAGCACATACTTCAAATTACTTTCCTGTGCTATACAGAACAGCAACAAGCACATCATTTTAGCCCTAAATATTACGATTTTTAAATTGATCATTAGCACACCTTACGTTGTTCTTTACCCCATTTTTATCAATGCTTTATGGAAGGGCTTGGGGTAGGGACCAAGGAGGCAGGTTGCCAGAAGTCTCATGTCATGGACTTGATCACTTCCTAACTAGTCCCTACACATTGTTTCTAGACCACAGTAATATGATATAACTAATTTTTTTTTTAAATTATTCCAGGTTTTCCCTTCTAAAACCAAAATTTAAAAGAGATTAATTGCAGGGAAAATGTGGACAAATCAATATGCAGTTTTGGAGCTGCTATTTGCTGTAAATTAATTCCTGTTTATTGTTTTTCTATTAGTCATATAATAAGGCAAACTCATAGAAAAAGTCAACATAGCATTTATGGCCAATCTCTGAATTACTAATGAGCATCTTATTAAATATGTGTATAAATCCAACTTCAAAGCACTTTTTTCTGATGGTTCACAGCCTGCTGACAGCAGAAGAAACAGCTTCTGCTGTTTGCATCACCCAACAGAATTTCTGTGTTCTCAGATGACCTTTTGTTGATCACCCATTAGTACTTCTCTACAGTGAAAAGTGTCAGTGTACATAGAAAGGGAGACTTGAAACTGCTGTTTGCAATTTGTTAGTGGCATCTCTCCCAGCCACAAAAGTTGGGCTGTGAGATATCTAAGTGTTGATGAATACCAGCACTTTGATGCCAGGCTTTGCTATAGGGAGATTAATCAGAAAAAAGTATGGTTATCTGAGGTATTATTTAAGAATTCAGGACATCAAAGATATTAAAAACATCAGGACAAAAATGACTTGCAGTTAATATGAGACATAGGACATAACATAAAATATTTCTATAAATATATGAAAAATAAAAGGATAATGGAAGAAAGTCTAGGCCTGCTACCAAAAGGAAAAGGGAAGCATTAACTAAAAGAATAACACAAAGTTTAATGACAGCTTGGTGTTAGTCCTCTCAGAAATGGAAACTCTGGTTTGATATTTAAGGTGATTGATTTGGACAAGTGAATGTATGTGAATTGGGAAGGAACAATTTAAAAAATACATGGAGTTATGTAAAGTGGCAGGATTGTATATAACCTACACTGGTGTGGTTCAGAAATTAGGAGAAGAAATCTTTGCTATCAATTTGTGAAACCAAGAAGAATGGAGATATCTCAGAACTCTGGAGAGGGTAAAACACAATACTTATATTTAAAAAAGGCACAGATAGCAATACCCTGTGATTATATTATGTATAATAATACCTGGAATTAAATACCTGGAAATCATGACAGCAAAATATTAAATAATCAGTATATCCACATATGGAGGATAATAAAGAAGAACCAAGTAATAATGAACTACCAATACACACTTGTCAAAAATGAGGTTACACTGGACTAATCCAATCTGGTTTAATGGATAAAGAAAAGTATATACAGGTTTCAGAGGGGCTTTTGGTATTATCCAATATTCTATTCTACTGAAATATGAACAAAGTCACAGAAAGATGTACCATAGGTGCATGTGCTCTACTATGCCTGCAAAGGTTCAAACAAAAATAAAATTGCTAGTCCAAGCATTTACAACCTACACTAGTTGCTTATATCTGGAAGAAGAAAAGAGGACATAAATCAGAATATTAGGAATGCTGTGCAACGTGCACTGCAGATGGCATTTACTGTCAGTATAAAAGAAATAACTCCATATCCAGTAGACTTAGAAGCTCCAGTTAACCAGCGTCAGTAAAAGCAGGAGTCACTGGAGGGGTGTCTACAGCATGCAGTGAGTGCTGTGTAATAAGGGGGTTCCACAAACCCTTTCTCCAGATGCTGGTTGAAAACCATCAGTAATCAAAAGGATACAAGTGTCCCTAGGCTGTGGGGGTTCTGACAGTGGCAAGGTTAATAAAACGTATGTTCCTGCATTTAGATATGGACTTGAAAAGTTGGTGTTTTGGAAGGATGAACCTGGAGAATGAGAATGTGTTGTTACCCATCTTAACACAAATACTGTCCTTTGCTCAAGTTATGAAGGGTTGGACAGATGTGTTGCTGATGTTTTGTGCTTATTAATCCATTTTAAGTTGCCCTGTCCTTCAAAGCTCTCAATCCCACTTTCCTGTTCTATTCAGTTACCTGTTCTATCTGACAGCCTTGTTAAAATTTTACTTTACAGAGAGATTCCCTTTGTTACTGCCTTTACTGTACTTACTAAGATATGGTCTTCATCTTTGCTTTTGATTTCAAGCACTACACTGTTTTGTTAACACAAAGCACACAAAATATGACCACCATTTTTCAGTAATTCTGTAACCAACAGCCAAATGTCTATATGCATACTAAGCACTGACACTTATCGGCCAACAAGTCCAGTAACCAAAACACAAATGAGAACACCATCCTTTCAGGAATTACAAACGTGTCCCTTTTTACCGCCAACTTACCTGCTGACTAGGACAAGTGTCTTAACTAAAAACACATTGGAAAATCTTCCAAACCATAACATAAATGGTGGTACTTCAAAGATCTGGAAAAAGATAAAGTGTTTCTGTCACCCAGTCCAGATAGTTATATGGACATATCTGAGAAGCCAATTTTGCATTTGGAAAATATCTCAGAAGCCAATTTTGCATTTGGATAATATCTCAGCAACCATTACCCAAGACCACAACAACAAAAAACACAGTTATTTTGTCAGTACTGAGTGATGTTGCACACTCAATTTCTGTTTGGTTTTGGTAACATTTAAGTGCCTATCTGACATTTATGCCTGTAAATAGCTCCCTGTAAGATCTCAAGCTGTTCTGATCTGTAGAACATTTACAGTACAGCACCTGGTTTTCACACTGTGCTCTTACACCCAAGCTGGCTGACTGCAGCCTGACTTCAGACAGGTCCTGGCTTATGTGATGTCTCTATCTCTGTCAGACTGCCAACCTCACCACTGCACACCTATTAGAACTGAACTCCCGCGTGAAGATTGTACCACTGATCTCTCCTGTGACTTAGCTGCAGAAACTCAGAGACAGAAATACATAGACAATTCTGGTGAGAAGCTGAGAAAGGCACACACTGCTGGCAAACACTGATCCTTGCTCCTGCAGCTTTCTCAATGCAAACTAGAGCCAAAACTAAATGTCTGTTGTGTCAGTCATAACATTTGGGAAAATATACAGTGCTCTTTGGGGCGGAAGCACCACTGAATTCTACCCAATTCTTGCTCTACAGGAGAGGGTGTAAAATGTTGAGGGATATGGCACAGAACCAGCAGCTTAACAGTGAACAATGTGAGATACCAGGCACATCTGTCCTTTAGGAGACTATGGCTATCAATATACAGAGATAAGAAAACAAAGTAAAGATGAACCTCCTCAAAGAATTAACACAGACTTGCTGCGGCTTGGTACCAGTGAATAAAAGCTGGTAAATGTTCTCTTCAGTTAATCTGTTCATAACAATGCTTGTTGTTGCTTCATCCCCTCTGTTTCACTCGCCCAAAATTGGTCCATGCAGTCCACAGCAGCGCAGTCTGTGAAACTTTCAGCGAGTACATCTGGTGCCTGTGAGAAAGCAACACGGGGAGTTGTAAGCCTGGTCAAAAGCTACACTTTTAGAACATTAGGAAAAGCAGAGACAGCTTTTCTTACTGGGTCTTTTGCAGCAATAAGTTAGAGGCAGCAGTCTCATGTCACCTATTTTCTTTTGCACAGAAATGGTTTCCATCACAACTGAAAATGTTACACAACTGTACAACATGACCACCCAGGAGCTCACAGTCAGTCCAGCAGATTTCCAAAATAATTCAGGAGTGGATCAGATAAATCCATACAAATGTGTTAATGAAGATGTAGAGAGATGGCTACAAGAATATCAGCCTGGATTCCTCTGGTTTATATTTGTTCTGGGAGCAATAGAAAATTCCTTTGTCCTCACTGTCCTGTGTTTCCACAAGAGTAGCTGTACAGTGGCTGAAATTTACCTAGCAAACATGGCACTTGCTGACCTAATGTTGGTCTGTGTTTTACCTTTCTGGGCCATTAATATTTCTAATGGATTTGAATGGCCTTTTGGCCTGTTTCTCTGCAAAGCTGTCAACAGTATGAGTTACATGAATTTTTATTCTAGCATTTATTTCCTGACACTAGTGAGCATTGACCGCTACTTGGCCTTGGTGAAAACCATGTCCCTGGGACGGATGCGACGAACCGTCTGTGCCAAATGGAATAGCTTTGTAATCTGGACATGTGCTTTGCTCATGTGTTCACCTACAATGGCGTTTCGAAAGTTACAGTATTTTGAAGAATACAATATCACAGCCTGTGCTCTTATTTACCCAGCCAACTACTGGGAGCCTACAAACAACTGCTTGCTGAATATTGTGGGTTTCATGATCCCACTCTGTGTAATTACCTATTGCACTATACAAATCATCAAAGCCTTACGCAGCAGTGAGCTACAAAAAATGAAGGCAGTCCAGACAGAGAGAAGAGCCACCATGCTGGTCCTTACTGTGCTCTTGCTGTTCATCATTTGCTGGCTTCCATTTCAGATCAGCACATTCATTGACACAATCCGCTACTTCTCACCCACGCTCAAATGCCTGGAAGACATCAATGAAATACTGACTCAGATAGCTGTTTACTGTGCCTTTAGCAACAGCTGCCTGAACCCAATCCTGTATGTAATTGTGGGGAAGCACTTCCAGAAGAAGGCTGCAGAATTCTACAAGGGCTTGCTCCCAAAGAGGTTCAGAAAATCACAGTCTGTGCGGATGGAAAACTCCCTGGACACTTTAAGAACTTCCATTTCAAGTGAATACCCAAGGAAAAAGTCTGTTTTGCCATTACCTCGATAGCAAAATTTTAGGAAATATTACAGGAAGAAAGCCTTCTAAGCATATCAGTCTCCACTACCAGTCCACAGAATAAACTTGTGGTAGAGTTCATCATGCGGGGGAAATCAACAGTTTTGTCTTAATGGAAACTCCATGCAGAGACCTGCTTCTAATATTATTGGATATTTTTCATGATTGAATCCTATTTGGTAGCTTACTTACATTTTCATGACTGAATAATATGTGGCACATGTATCATTTGGAATGTTTGCATTTCTAAGGTGTACATTCATTTACCTACAGTTCTCTGAACAGAACCCCGGTTGTTGTCAGGATTGTGCAGCTACTTATGGTACCCATGCAGTGTGTTAGATCAGATTTTTGATCTGGGAGGGGCTTGTATTTGAGTAAGTTCTGGTACGTGAATCCCTTAGGATTATTATTCACATGGATTTTTATGTGTGCTCATCTTCTGGGCTTTTAATTTCTCTCGTCAGTCATCCAAAACTATTTGATCGTTTGATTGACAAGAGGTGCCTTTTTGCAACTCTTAGTCACCTGACCATGTATGTATGGAAAGAAGCTAAAAAAAGGTAAAGCAGTAGTGGAAGAAAAGCTGTAGCCAGCTGCATGGAGTTAGCTGAGTTTTCTTTATAACAGGAGATTCTTTACCCCTTCTACCTTGGGGTGAAAACATTCACTCCTTTTGAATGTGTGAATGTTATTTACATTCATACCTACACTTTAGCTCAGAGACTTGATTTTTCAGTATTCACAAAGCATGATTAATATTTTTAATGTTATTTAATGTAAATATAAAAGCTCAGCACAAGAGGTGTAAAGTCACAAGCAGAAGAAACAGAATATGAAGGAGAACACCATTCAACTACATTAGAAATCTAACTGAAAATAACAGGAGTCTTCAAAGTTCAAAGTATTCAAGAATGGCCTTTTCAGACTCTAATAATACCTATATTTTATTTGTAGAGTTAATCTGTGTGATTTTAATACGAGATAGTTTTTCCCCAATTGGACTGTATTTTTGATCTGAGTTTCATAAAACCACAGAATCACAGAATATGCTGAGTTGGAAGGGATCCAGAAGGATCATCAAGTCCAACCCTTAGCCCTGCACAGGACCATCCCCAAGAGTTCCATCATGTGTCTGAGAGTATCCTCCAAATGCCTCTTGAACTCTCTCAAGCTTGGTGCTGTGACCACTTCTCTGGAACCTGAGCCTGTTCCGGTGCCCAACCACCCTCTTGGTGAAGAACCTTTTTCTAATACCCAACCTAAACCTCCCCTGTCTCAGCTTCAGACCATTCCCTCTGGTCCTGTCATTGGTCACCACAGAGAAGAGATCAGTGTCTGCCCCTCCTCTTCCCCTCCCGAGGAAGTTGTAACTTTAGTGAGATCTCCCCTCAGTCTCCTCTTCTCCAGCCTGAAAAGATCAAGTGACCTCAGCCACTTCTCACACAGTTTCCCCTCAAGGCCCTTCACCATCTTCATTGCCCTCCTTTGGACACTGTGCTGGTTTAAAAGTTAACCAGCAGGGGGAATGAACCCAACTCAAAGGAGAGATTATAAGTCAGAATAACAATTTATTAAAATAATACAGTAAGTACAATAATACAAACAAACAATTGGTCTCAACCCACAAAAACCCAA